TATATATAAATATATATATTCTCTCTATATATATTCCATTCCATTCCCTAAGACAGTTTATGTTGTTTCTGGAGGAACGTCAGGCTTGAATATTACTGGCAAATCTTTCTCCTTTGCAGGCTGTTCCCTGTGTGGGTGGGTCGTGTGCTCCTCTGGAGTGATAATTCTCCACTGTTCTTGTTGGAAATGCTGCTTGTAATGGACTCCTAAGAAGTGCTGCTCTGGGGCTGTGGGTGGCACAGGCTGTGTTCTCATTGCTTGCAAAACATCTTTTCAGTAGCCATTTTTTCTTTGGGATGCTGCATTTGGTACTGAAGCTCATCCAGGCATGGTCCCGAGTGCTGTTTAAAGATGGGAAGGAGAGCGATGGGGCTCCAGGGCAGCAAGCCCATTCCTGCCTTGAATAACCATGGACCATCTGCTGCTAACAAATCCCTAGAAAACCCCGAACGGGACCTCTTGGAGCAGGGTAGCTCCTGCAGCGCTCGAAGGGAGTGGTGGGAAATGCACTCGCACAATTGCCGCTGCAATTAACCTCTCCTGAACCCGGGGCTGATGTCGGTGCTGTGCGGTGAGGGCGGCAAAGGAACGAGTGGTGCGGCGAGTGGCAAGCCAAACGCAGTAGTTATCTAAGAAAAAAATCTCAGGAAGCTATTGCAGCGCTGTGAGGGCTTTGTTTATAGACCAGAAACTGAAATACTGGGTTGCTCGAGTGCCTGTTTCCTACCCAGTGTGACCTGTCACTCCTGATTATTTCCTCCCTGCTGTCTATTTTCAGGGCTGTCATCATTGCTCAGCTTTCTACGGCCAGCACGTTTTTCACTCTCCTCTCCTGGCTGCCAACTTTCTTTAAGGAAACTTTCCCCGAGGCAAAGGTAAGCTGGCACACGGGCATTGCTGGTCCCTGTGCAAATGAGGTTGTGCCGGGTACCTGTCGAAATGGGTTGGTTAGGGAGGAAGATGATAGCAGAAGGACTTGGCGAGAGCAGGCTGGGGGGCAGGAGGAGGTGGGAGGTTGCCCTGCAGGGTTAGGAGCCGTTACCCCCCCGGCACATACATTTGGAGATGCAAGCATCCTCACTCTGGGTAAGCAGAGCCAAGTTTCTGTTTGCTTCTTTAGGGATGCTGAAGCAAGACAGAGCTGGGCCCGCCTTCCAGGCTGGGAAGAGAGGGTTCTGCTTGCTTTTAGACTGCTTTTCTTCTGAGGGAAGGGTGGTTTTCAAATGGCACAGAGCTCATCACATTATGCTGTTGCAAATGCCCACCATTCACTCCTGGGTTTTTGCAGGGTTTTTAGCTGTACTGACACTGTACAGCTCAGACCTGCCTGTGAAAATGATAATTACCATTAATAACATGTGCTTAAAAATATCATAAAAGCTTGCTTCTCCTCAGCACAGATGATGTTCCCATTTTTCAGAAACCTAGGCGATGCTCATCTGGGCTGAGAGCTAGTATTTTGATCTTCTTGTTCTCACAGACTCAGGCAATCTTTTCCACAATGGCTCTGTTAGCTTTTTTTATGATTTCCAGAGCTGCTTACAAATGCCTTTTCATATTACATGTGTAAGGCGCTTTATGGCATACTTGATACTTATATTAAAATCATGTATTAAACCAGCAAACATATTGTTGTGACAAGATCTGTGCACCTCGAGTAATATGCTTGTGCAGCAGTAATTTACCATCTGTTAAGCATTATATCATGGTGCCCTTATGTAAGATGCTCTATATAGCGTTCCTGCATCTGATAATCCCTTCATACGTTTTAATGGTATGGGTAATGGGTATAAATTGAAATCAGGGAGGTTTAGATTAGATGTCAGGAAGAAATTCTTCACAGAGAGGGTAGTGAGGCACTGGAACAGGTTGCCCAGAGATGTTATGGATGCCCCATCCCTGGATGTCTTCAAGCCCAGACTGGATGAGGCTTTGAGCAACCTGGTCTAGTGGAAGGTGTCCCTGCCCATGGCAGGGGGGTTGGAACTAGATGATCTTTAAGGTCCCTTCCAACCCTAACCATTCTATGATTCTATGATTCTATGATTCTAATAAAACGGGGCTGGAGGATGCTTAACTTTCAAAGGATGGATGATAATCCTTAATGTGGGAAACCTATGTCACCTACTGGTCAAAGTCCCTTTCTGCAGGTGAGCTGCCTTCACCACTGCCTCAGCAGCTGCCTGCAGCTCACCTGGGTGGAGGTGAGCCTAGAATCATGGAATCTTTAGGTTGGAAAAGACCTTTAAGATCATGAAGTCCAACTGTTAACCCAGCACTGCTAATAGCACCACTAAACCATGTCCCTAAGCAACTTTCCACATGTCTCTTCAATCCCTCCCGGGATGGTGACTCCACCACCTTCCTGGGCAGCCCCTTCCAATGCCTGACAGCCTTTTCCGGGAAGAAATTCTTCCTGATATCCAACTGATGTGATGGAGGGGTTTGGCTGATGCTGCTCAGGGTGATGGGTCGTAAGGATGGCTTCGGTGTGTTGGGATTGACTTGCTGAGTAACCTCAGCTGGTGTGGACAGACTCCAGAGATGTTACCCCACAAACCCTATGGGGTAACATTTTCAAAAGTGACCAAGACCCCAAGTTTCAAAGGCACTGAAAAGTGCAGGTGGACCCTGGTACGATTTCCAGGAGTAGCTGAAAGAGGATTATTCAAACCCAAGTTTATTCAGCCCTCCTGTGCATCCTGAAGCCTCCAAGGAAGGGAGGGATGCCTCCATGGGGTGACGGGCTCTGAGCGAAGGGGGAGAGGTGGGGGACAGAATGGATGGGGAGGTTCAACCAGCTGAGGTGAAGCCCAGCCTAACCCGCAGTGTTTTCAGCTTCTCCTGGGATCTGGGCACCAAAACGCTTCTGAGCAGCTGTAATCCAGATGACCGGTAATCATCTGTGATTACAACTGTAGCAAGCTTGCTTAATTGAAAATAGACCAAAGTATGTTGCTACCCGTAATGTTACCTAATCCTGGCATCAGAAAATCCAGCTACGTTCCCGCAGCTTCACGGTAACGCTGCTAGTGAGGTTGAGGCTGATGTCGGAAATTTTGCCAGCAGCTTTAGGAATGACCCACAGGGCAGAGTAAAAGCTTTGTCTTGCTTTCCAGGGCCCCATGGCTCTCTGCCACATCACCTTGCTGAACAGTAAACCTTGCCACATTTAATCCCTCTTTCCCGAGGCAGAGAGAGCTTTCTGCCTCTCCCTTGGATGCAGGGTCACCGGGGCAGAAGGAAAGGCACCAAACCTACAAATGCTACAGCCCCGTGATGCGCCTGCTACCTTACAGGCTTTGGGTGGTGCGGGGCGTAGCTGAGCTTGCTGTGCAAAGGGGCAGAGAGCCTGCAAGAAGTCCTGATCACTTTGGGGTTTTTTCCTTTCTACAGATATCACGGCCCATCAGATCAAATATCTGAAAACTCATGCAGTCCTGACAGCAAACCTCTCTTGATTTTTGCTCCCTTTCAGGGTTGGGTGTTTAATGTAGTCCCCTGGCTGGTCGCAATTCCAACAAGCTTGTTCAGTGGATTTCTGTCGGATCATTTAATCAACCAGGGTAGGAGCTCTTTTGGCTTTTCCTCAGCTCTTATTTTATGTGATGTGGGGGTGGGAGGATGTGGGCTTGTTGGTAGCAAGAAGACCCAGCAAATAGACAATGTGAGGTTCTGATGTGAAAGCAAAATAAATACTCCAGGGTCCAAATCCCATCCATGTATTTGGGGCTCCCTTTGATCTCTGGCAATATCCACCTGGAGATGAAATCTAGCCATCTGGAGTCCGCTTACCCTGTGGTCTCCTGGCTAGAGAACACGGAGACCGGGACAGCGGTGCTTAACTGCAACTCTCCCTTTCTCTTCCAGGGTACAAAACCATCACCATTCGTAAGTTCATGCAGGTAAAGGAGCTGAAGCCAAGGAGAGACACCTGAGCTACTGCTGACCTCTGCTTACGCGGCAGATTTGACCTCTGCTGGAGCTGGGCTGGTGGTTATAGGTGGAAGGAGGAATGGTTTTGTAGCTGTGCAGATAGACAGTGGTCAGTGCGTGTGGGAAACGAAACCCAGAGGAAAACCCTGAGTGAGGAACAGAGCGCAGACCAGCGGTAACACTGAGCACAGGGATGTGTGTGTGCCGCAGAGAGGTTTTCCTTCACAGGCAAAGGCCAGCCACATGCTGCCACTCCAAATGACCCCTTAGGTACTAGGAAATAGCAATACAAGGATGAGCAGGAGTAGAAATGCTGGGTGAGAGCACAGCGTACCCTCTGTGCTCCGCAGCATTGCATCCCTCCGGACAGACCTCTGACGTGGCATGTGAGCTCCTGCCAGTGTAAAAGGGAACACTTTGTCCGCGGAAGGAGTTGCTTTCTTCCTCACGCAGAGTGTGCCGCGGTGTTTAATTTTCCCTTTCTTCCAGGTCATTGGCTCCGGCGTCTCAAGCATTTTTGCTTTGTGTCTGGGCCAGACCTCCAGTTTTTGCAAAGCTATGGTGTTCGCCTCAGCCTCTGTGGGACTTCAGACCTTTAACCACAGGTAACGGTGATCACGACAGTAGCTGTGGCCCTCAGCCCCACGCGTGGCATTTCGGGGTCTCAGAGGACGCTGCCTCTGTCGTGACAGCAGAGCAAGAACTGGTGCTTGTCTGAGCATCGTGGGTCGCTGCCTGTGAGGCCGGGGAGTTTAGTGGGTTGGAAATGATGCAGTAAGCCTCTGGCGTGGGGAAGGGCTTGGCGTACTGGAGGGCGCGTTGGACCAGCAGGTTCCGGCGAGGGAAGCAGGGAGGGAATTGCATTTTGGCCCCTCTGAACGCTTTGAGTTGAATCCCTGGTGCTTTCCTGTGCTGCTTCTCTCGGCCCCTTTCCTCCTTTGCCCTGAAAGTGCCATTTATTGTCTAGGACCCTTCCTTTTGTTTTGCACGCTGTGTAAATGATGCAAAAGCAGTTGTGGTCCATTAAAACAGCCATTTTCCCCTCTCTGCTTCTCACCAGTGGCATTTCAGTAAACGTACAGGATCTGGCCCCCTCATGCGCTGGCTTGCTCTTTGGTAAGGACTCCCGTGGCGTTTCGGTTGTGCTGGAAAGGTGCTGCGTACGGGAGGGGACACGGTTGTCACCATTAAGGTTTGAGCAGGAGTAGCTCTAGGCAACCTCTACTCCATCTTCGCAGCCTCAGCTTCCTTCTGGGATATTCCTTCCTCCTTTCCAATACCTGAAGGGACCTACAAGGAAGCTGGGGGGGACTTTTTACAACGGCCTGTAGTGACAGGACAAGGAGTAACGGGTTTAAACGGAAAGAGGGAGATTGAGATTGGACATCAGGGAGAAATTCTTCCCGGAGAGGGTAGTGAGGCACTGGGACAGGTTGCCCAGAGAAGCTGTGGATGCCCCATCTCTGGGAGTGTCCAAGGCCAGGCTGGATGAGGCTTGGAGCAACCTGGGCTAGTGGAAAGTGTCCCTGCCCATGGCAGGGGACGGGACTGGATGATCTTTAAAGTCCCTTCCAACCCAAACCACTCTGTGAATCTGATTCTATGTGCCTGCCATTGCCGGGGCAGGTAACTGCCAAGTGCTCACCAAGGGCTGGGGGTGAGGCTGGGGGTCGGTGGTCCCAAATGTCAGCAAGTTATGAGCTTTGCACACAGACGGGGCTCGGGCGGGATGCACTCACGTCTGCGGGTTTGAATACGCAGTGTCTTCCTTCCCGTTACAGGTGTTGGGAACACAGGTGGAGCCCTCCTAGGTAAGGTCCCTCCTGCAGCTCATCCTTTCCTGGGCAGTCCCCTCCTGGCACACGGGCAGGATCTGGCCCCAGAGCCTCTGCATTTCTTTCTCTTCCCTCCTGTCCCAGGGGTCATTTGCGTGTACTTGGCTGGCTACCTGATTGAAACGACAGGCTCCTGGATTTCTGTTTTCAACCTGGTGGCGGCTGTGAACAGCGTTGGCCTCTGTGCATTCCTTGTGTTTGGAGAGGCCCAGAGGGTGGACACAGACTCTGAATATATGGACCTCTAAGGATGCGTCCAGCGAGCAGCCAAAGGACAGGAGAGCGTCACATCTATGTGTCATTGTCACACAAGTGCCAAAGAACCTTTTTTTTTTTTTTTAGGTGTTTAACAGGAAAAACCCCATACTGAGACCAAGTACATAATGGGTCTGAATGAAACCCGTAGAAGTAAAGAAATGTAGAGTTCCATTTTTGCTCAGGGCATGGCTGATGGCCTGTAGAGCCATCCAGCTCAACATCTCCAGTGAGGATACGAGCTGTGTGACTGGTTCGCCCCAGTCCATATCTAGTGGCCACATGGCCAAAGCGGCTTACCCAGCTTGTCTCCAAAGGGAGTGCTGGTTTGCATGCTCCTCCCTGGAAGCAGTCTCTCCCTCAGGGGAGCTGCTTTGGGGTGCCAGGAGCGTGTCCCTCCATGCTCTGCTGTCCTGTGACTGCAGAGAGGGTGGCCGGCTCTCGGGCTGTGACACGTGTCGTCTGAACTGCAGGAAAGGAATAACCCAAATGAACATACCTGTGACCTTAATCCTCCCTCGTGTGCCTTCATTTTGCAGTCTGCTCGACGGTACAAGCCAGGGGTACAAGAGAAAAGGTGGTGAGATGAATTCCAGGCTTCCCTTCAGGGCAAGTCTTCTGTCTGGATGTCTCCTGGGGACGCAGGGTGTGAGGTTGCATCAATCAATAGTGGAAGGTGTCCCTGCCCATGGCAGGGGGTTGGAACTGGATGATCTTTAGGGTCCCTTCCAACCAAACCCACGCTATGATTTGATGAACACTGCCTTTGCCGTGCTTGAGCTGAGCTGGGAGATTGCAGAGCAGATCGCTCAAGCCAGCCGTGCCCATCTCGGCTCAAGGGCAGAGCTCAGAAGCTCCTCCCTCTCCTGGGTCGCTTTACTCCAGCCCTGAGCCGTGGTAGACCACCTCCAGCGTGAGAGCAGAGGAAAGCTGCTGTCACCATGGCCAGGCTCAGCTGGGCTGACCTTATGGTGGGTGCAGCCGAGGAATCCCCCGGGATCTGAATGTGTAGGAAGCACAGGCCATAGTCTGTGCTGTGGACCTATACTCCCAAATGCTTTCTGCTTAGACGTGTCCTCCATGTGCTCTCAGGGGGCTGTGGGAGGACTTTCCAAAGAGCCTGCAATGGGCAAGTTTTGTTTCTGTGTTAAGCGTAAAGTGAATTTATCCATTGGGGATCCATCCATAGTGGATGTGGATCCCTGCAGTTCCCTGTGTCAGAGGGAAATACTTGGCTGAACACGCCTCTGAGCCTGAATGTCTTAAGTTATTTATAAATATTTTTAAATTTAAGCACCAAATTCTATATTTTATGTACTTGAGGCCTGGTTCTGCATGCGTATTTTGAGTGGTCCTCCCCCCAAAACCCACAGTATTTCTAGAAGGGAAGGATTCGCCAGCCTACAGTTTCTGGTTTTGTAGAACCTGTTTTAAATGTGACATTTCATATTGAAGCAATTGCTTTTCCTCCCACCTATTGCTTGCAGCCTGAAAGGATCTCTTTGATTTCTCTCGTGCTTACCAGGAAACTTAGCTGAGACTTGGGAGCACATTTCCCAAGGGATGCAGGAAAGCTATAGGCTCAGATTCATTGGCCTTAAAAAAATAACGTATTATCCCTTGCTTATTTTGTTTTGGCCAGATTTCTTCTTGGAAGACACATTGGAGCCCTGTTAAGTTTCTGCGTAGCTGGGTTTATAGTGAAAATACTGACAGTCTTTTAATTGCAGAGGCACTAATGGGCGCCACTAAGCTAAGCTGGGCTACTTACTGCGGGTATTAAGAGATAAAGATGCAACTGCCTGATGTCTTTGCAAGAGAATATAGGGTCAGTGTGGCCTGACTGAGGGGCAGAGAGATAAGGAAGTATTTTTTTGTCCTTCTGGGCTTTTTTTCCCTAGAAGGCTGGTTGCTGCCGTAGGTGCAGCCCTGTGCGTGGCAGTGCTGCGGAGCCGGAACATGCCAACGCAGCCAGGAAGCCTCTTAAAACCAGCGGGGAAAGCGGGGGGGGGCCACACACAGCAAGTGCACACCAGGCTTGCCAGGAGGCTGGTGGCCATGCAGACATCTCTGCCAGCCTCGACCCACATCCAGTCCGAGTGGGTAGGCTGCACGGCCTTTTCTATAGCGATGTAACCAAAAAGAGTGGGTTTGGGGTTTTTTTTTAAACATCTTTCCTGGCCGTTCAGCATTGCAAATCAGGAGCACGAGGAGTGAGTTTTGGTTCTCTTGGCTGGTTGCACCATCTCTTGTGGAAGGGTTGATGAATGTAAATCACCTTCGAACCAGGCAGCTGGGCTACCCCTTGGCTCTGCAAGCTGGGAACTCTGGAACTGAGATCTTCCAAGGAAAGTCAGTGTTTTTGGCTGTGCCTTCTTTGTAAATCCAGCTAACGCTTTGGTGGGCTGTCTGGATTATCTGTCTTTTTAAGCTGGCTAAGAAGTTAAATATTTGAAGTGCATTTGAGGCTTAGGTTTCATTATGTTCGTACCTCTTTGGTGAAGCATTGAAACCATTTTACATAGCTGTACTGTTACTTGTTTAAGCAGCCTTGCCAAAGCTTGCTGTCGGAGAGATTTTGTTACTGAAGGACCTACAGAAAATAAAGGCAGCAGATCATTTGCACACTGTCTGGTTTTCCTTTGAATGCAGGGGTGTTAATTTGCATGATCAGTGAGGGACAGACAGAGCTTGAGTGTGTTTAGTGTGATTAACTCCCTGGGGCTGGTGCGGGAGGATGGGGAGGCTGGGAGAGTATCTGGGCTGGCAGATTTTCACAGCATGTACTCGGACGTTGGACCTCAGAGTACATCCAGGTACACGTCCTCATTTATCTTGGAAAAATGACTGGAAAGCTGTCTTCGGCAGATCTGTGGTCAGTACAGCACCAGGGTACAGCCTCCAGCAGCAGTTGTTAGCGCGGTAACACGAATGAAGCAAGGCTTGGGTAGGTGGGCTACACCCCCCAGGCAGATGCCTTCCACCTGAGACTGCTAAAAAACCCCATTCTGCCCTTTTTTCTGCATCCTCGCTGATCGGTTCGAACAGATGCCAACAGAGGGAGCTGTTAGATTTGGGATGGGGCAGCTCCTGGCCGGCTGGGAGCTGCTGGGTCTGGCACAGCTGGCACAGCAGGCGCGGATAGTATGGCTGGCACAGCTGGCACAGGTAGCATGGCTGGCACAGATGGCACAGGTAGCATGGCTGGCACAGATGGCACAGGTAGCATGGCTGGCAGGGCTGATCTGGCTGGCACAGCTGGGGAGCCCGCCCAGCCTGGCCACGCTGAGGAGCTGCCCCTCCTGCCAGAACCTGTGTTGGGGTGTCCCAGGACCTGCTGCCCCAGCGTCAGCTTTCCCTCTTCATTTGGTAATTGTACAGTTAGTACAGTGGGGAGCAAAAGTTTGGGAGGACGTTTTGAAAGGAGAAATAGCCACTAAAGGAATATTTAAACTTCATCTGTAGAGTAATGTAATCAAAAAAATATCTTTGAGGACTGTGCAGTCCACTAATTTTCAGAAAAAACCCATTGTGGTATGAAAACGATGCTGAAGATAATTTAGCAGAATGCAAATTATCCTCAACTTTCCCTGTCCTGTCATGCTTCGTATAAAGGTATAAACAACCTCTGACCTACACACTTGAGCTATTTCAACCTGAAAAGCTCTAAGTAGCCACAGACCCACCTCAAACCCGTCCCTGTTCTTCTTCATGGCATCCTGCAACTGTGTAAAGCCCAAGAGAAAAGAACGAGCTCTGCCACATTCCTGAAATTGTCTGGATCTCAGGGCTACCCTGCCTGCCAGGCCAGATCCCAGCTTTCCAGCCCGCCCAAAGCAAGTAGGGACTGGGATGATGCAAAAAGGACTGGGGAGCTGGGAGTGGGCTTAAAGGCTGATTCATCACAGGTACATTGTATTGGTGCTGTGGGATGGAACTGATAGCTTGGTTCGTGTTTAAATTGTTTGGGGCATATTCAATCACTGGCTCTGGAGCATTGGAAGGAGACTGTTTTATTGCAGTTTGCATAACACTAAATCAATAAACACATTCAAGCAGATGGAAAGCAAAACACAGGAGAAAAATAGCACTATTTGGAGGAGAAAAGAAATAGCAAAGAGCACTTTTCGCTGATACTTTTACCTTGAAAACACAAGCAGATGCTCTCACAGCAGAGCCCTGATCTAACATCCTCCTGCCAGCTCCCCGGGGCTGGGACATGCCCCAAAGACACCACTGTTCTGCAAAGGGCACCCAGCACCGTAACAAGCAAAATATCACCGTTTATTGCAGCCGTGACCTACTGCGCGGCACGTAATGAGGAATTTTCCATTTCAAACTTTAATGCAATAATTAAGATGTCCATTAAGGTCTTTACAGTTTGACTGCTTGTAATTAAAAATGGGGAGAACGGGAGGGGCAATGGCAGGGAGTTGCAGACCAGGGTGTCAAGCTTTCCCCAGCAGCTTTAAATGCTCTCTGCTTTTTTGCCCTCTATTTTGTTTCTTCAGAATAACTTCCCTGCATTTCTTTGTAACTGTCTTCAGGGCAGGTGGCCTTAAAAACATGTGAAAACCAATCTTAGTTCCCACAAGTACAACTTGGTTTTACAAAAGAGCTTTTCCCCTCTACCAAAACACCTCCAAAACACCAGTGCTCCTGGGCTGCAGTTTTTGGGGGTGCCTCTGAGCAGGGAGACCCTTGGGGCATTGCCTTGAGCCAGGCTGCCCCATCCAACAGCCCCGCAGCAGCTCCAGGACAGCCGAGCTCCATCAGCAAAGAGCCACAGGAATAACCCAAACCACAACGGGACTGTCGGCTGCAGGAATGATGACTCGGGAGTTATACTCCAGTTGGTTTCCAGACTGGAATAGCTCCCTGCTAATACAGTTCCTGGTGCAGGATTAAGGGTGAGGTAGGTTTTAATCCAATAATGAAAGGAGAAGAAACCCCCATATAAACCCACATCTTCCAAAGTGGCTCTGCTCCTGGG